CAGATGATGGCCAAAAGCGGGCATTTTAATTTTGCCTTCCTGGAGGATGTGCAGGCCAAGATCCTGGAAATGCCATACAAAGGCAATGACCTGAGCATGGTCCTGCTGCTGCCCAATGAAGCAGATGGCCTGCAGGAGGTAATACTCGCATTGACCGTTTTTCCTCTATTGCCTGATTTTTCCCCTCATGGTACCTGCTTAAGTTGAAACAAGACAAAAACTTTGAGGCCAAGATGCCTCGAATAATAAACAGTTCAAAACAAGGAACAATGACTCAGTCACTGAATCCGATGATTCAGTGGCACACACCTGTAAGCAGCAACTCAGGAGGCCAAGACAGGAGGATGACAAGTTTGAGGCCAACCTCAACAACTTAGTGAGACCCTCAGCAATTTAGTGAGACCCTGTGTCAAAATAAAAAATAAAAAGGGCTGCGATATAGCTCCATGTTTAAGTGCCCCTGGGTTCAATCCCCAGTATATCCTCACATTATAAATAGTTTAGCTTACAGCCTGACACAGGCTAAATTTATTATCATTTAAGTAGAGTTATACACATTAAATATCAGTTTGATGGCAACAAGCAACCATTAAACCCAAAGAAATACATAGCAATGTGAGAAATGTTTAAAAATATATCAAGCAAGAACTAAGAGTAAAAATAGGTCATGTATTATAACTGCAGTATGTAATAAATAATATGTGCAAGAAAATAAAAAGTCTACAAAATTACACATACAGTAGACGAATGGCATAAGAAGTAGTGATATAAGTTCATTTGGTTCAAAATAATGTAATTCTATTTTTACATACATGTTTGTACATGTGAACACATATAATCAAATAAGTCTTCATATATGTTCAGGCCTGCTGTTTTTGCTTATTAGAATAATGTCTAATTAGCTGGATCAACTATGCATATTGCCTTTATTGCTAATCTCAAAATTTCCCACGTATTCCATTCATTGTTAAATATGCCAGAGTCCAAAAGTCGATCAAGTCAGTTTTTTTTTTCCATCTTTATAGCTTGAAGACAAACTCACTGCTGAGAAGTTAATGGAGTGGACCAGCCCAAGGAGCATGGAGATGACTAATGTAGATCTGCGCCTCCCTCGATTCAAAGTGGAAGAGACTTTTGACCTTGAGACCATGTTGAGCGCCATGGGGATGGAGGACGTCTTCTGTCCACAAAAAGCTGACCTCTCGGGCATGACAGGGACACAGGACCTTTCAGTGTCCAAAGTTATGCACAAGTCCTTTGTGGAAGTGAATGAAGAGGGCACCGAGGCTGTAGCCGCCACTGGCGGAGTAGCTGGAACATTGTCCATCCCAATGCCCCCAGTTAGTTTCTATTGTGACCACCCCTTCCTGTTCTTCATCAAGCAAAATAAGACCCACAGCATCCTCTTCTTTGGCAGAGTCTCTTCCCCTTAAGCAGGATGCCTCTGTCTCTCTTATGAGACAAGTCACAGAGCAAACAGTAAACTGAGGCTGGAAACAACACGTTCTTTATATATTCATTTTCTTTTCCAGCCTCAGAGTCCCCACTAAGAATGCGATGGTTGTAGGAGCCTCTCTTTTTCTCTCTTTCTGCACACACATATGAACCAGTTTTCTTCTTTTTTTTTTTCTTATTAAAATTTCTTTGGAGAACAAAACGTTCAATGTGAAGATTAAAACAATCCATACCTCATCTTCTAAATTGCACACGATTGCTTCTGTCCTGTCTTGGATGAACCAAAGCAAATCACACTTTCTCTTCAAACTCATCAACCTAGACACCCACTTTTCCTTCAAT